TGTTTGTTTGAATAATTTAAAGTCATCGAGAATTAACCTCCCTAATGTGTATTTTGTATTGTATTTTGTTTAACACCAATGAAGGTGAGCAATACCTCTTGGGTATATCCCGTATATATACGTAATTAACCTGGAAGATAGACCCAGAAACCCCTCCTTGAAGGAGCCCTGTGTTCTTTTATGTGCACTTATACATAGACATACAAGTACACACCACAGCCTTTTGTACGAGTTGCGGACCACTCAGTCAAACACCCTGAAGTACTTCACGCAAACAAGCAAATTTAGTCTTGCCTGAACCGGGGATCGAATCCGGGACCTATTGCGTAAGAGGTAACTGCGCTATCGCTGAGCTACAGGTAGCTTAACCTTTTACAAAATAATCAAAACTTTTCAGAAGGTATTAATAGCTTAGCACGAGTATAACTATTTAGATACCAATTAAGTCTATAATAAAATAACGATGATATGAAAATAAAATTGTCAAGAATGTTTGGTTTACACAATGGCATCGTTTTTCATATATCTAAATTATGTCAAAAACAAACAATTTCAAAATCAGCAATCCAAATCAAATCTCCAAATGTGTTTTATCAAATTCTTTGTTAACTAAAACATCCAGGAAATGTCACTTCATTGTGCCATGAGTAATAGGTCTCAATTTAACATATAATTAAGCAAACATTTGTGGGGTTTTCACGCCCACCCCCCACCGCGAACAACGTCATCAACATGGGTTATGCAGGGTTTGTTATGAAATAGTTTAGAAAAACGCATGCTTTAAAAAAGTCAGTCACTCATTATTGATAGATTATAATGTCAATAAGACTGGAAGGAGGTGGAATTCACAGACTCCATCCGGTTATCTATACTATTGACGTCATATGCATGGTATCTTAAATGTTCAAATGTGGTAAGCCAAGGAGGCTCACGATAAATAAATTCCATGATTAATCGGTCCACTTTTATCAGGTACTTACCGTTCCCTCTCATTAGAATAACAGTCGATTTGTCTTTGTGAAAATCTCATTTAAATCTCTGATAAATCACTATCATGCCCTTGGCTTCATGCCTTGGATTGCAATCATGACATATCTTCGAAGGCGCCGTGACCTTAGCTTCATAAAGACAACCAGGGATTGAAATAATGACAACTCTTCACAAAACCCAGCCTATGTGAATCAAAGATGTCAAGAAGGACAAGGGAGGAAAGGCATGGCTTACCACAATGACAAAACCCCCTGTCAACAGAATCACCCCTTAAATCCATTTTACAGGTTTTCATGGTCATTACACAGTTTTCTCAGAAAGAAAATCGTCAATTAGCCCCTTCGAACCAAGTTACATGTATCATACATAGCTCAGCGAAATAGTCACATTATATTCACTTTGTCCTCCTTCTTATTCACATTCAAAAATGACTGTTAATATTCGTACCGTGCATACATTATATCTACACCGCTTGTTTTCGTATAATGCTCTATGATTTACATCTGTAGTAACTAGTAAGAGGGGGAACCCCATGGAAAAGAGAAGACATATATCTGTTATGTAAATCTGTATTGAGAAGACATCGTCACTGATTGGTCAAATCGACAGACAAATGACGTCATTCAATGGCGGCTTCAAAATTATATAAAACCGCTTTGAATAAAAGTACGTACATTTTTGGCGTGTTTACCAATATTATAGCTTGGTATTTCACCTCAAGATAAAGAAAAGATGTACGGAATAAACTAACATCGATTCAAAAATCAAAACGACGTGTAGTAATCGGAAACAAGTCGGTGAAAATTTGGACAAACGAAGGTACTAAGAAAGAGACGTAATTATGTCTGTCATCAAGTTCGGACTTTTTCCCTAGTATTAAAGTTTTTCACTTCCTAAGACTGAGAAGGTCAAATATTCATAACTTACAGTTTCTCGAACTTGAATGACGAAGATATAACGACCCTATGGTGCCTCTGGGGATCTGTAGTCAGAAACAGACATGGAATGGGGTGTGCTCATGCAATACCCCGTGCGAGAATCGAACCAAAAACCTTCCAGTTCACAAAGGGAGATGCTCTACTGCTGAGGCATACGGGCTTGTCACTACAGCGCTTATCACTACAAGTAAGGTTGTAGTAGCAGCTTGTTATCTAGGTTCATCACAATACCGACACAAATATGTTAATACGACTAGGTGTATAAAAAAGCCTTTCTTGAAACAAAGGTAGACGCTTATGGGAAAGGAGGTGGAGAAAGAAAGTTTACCTAACGCCGAAGACTGTAAATCAGGAATACTGCACAAATTCGTACGTCTAGTCTTTCCTTCTCGATCATTACTTGGTTTAACGTTTAGTCAGGGTCTTCTCTGATGAGTGAGTATATTTGGCATCGTCAAGGCGGGATATTTCAAATGCAAAAACACCCTGAAAAAGTTAAAAGAACTTTAAAATATGAGTTACCACATTAGCAATAAAGAAAAAACTAGGTGGTATAAAATTCAGGATAAGATTTTGTTTTCTGGACGATTAGATGCCCAAACGTGTAGACTAACTTGGCACAATGCTGATTTTAATACCTGCCACAATGATTGTGATCGCTCACTCACCCATGTCAGTTCCATAATGACCTAGGTATGATTTTAGGGTGGACATACTAGGCTTTTGACCGCTATCTTTGTAATATTTAAGAAATAATACTATAAAAAAACAAAATAAAAAAAATTATAAAATAAAATACATTATAGAAATCTGCCTTTAAAATTGGGTATATTTTTCATGGACATCCTGTATACAGTTACAGGTTTCTCTTATTAGGAGTCACTGAGCTATCCACATTTACGTTATGTTTCTAAAATTGGAGAATGTTCTCAATCCAGCCACACCTTTGCCCCAATCCTTGAGACTCTCACGATCACACACTTTCTCCGAATTTTCCTCTATTTTTACACCTTCGGTCTTCGAGTCACACCTTTAGCATTGTCATTGATAGATCCTGTGTTTCTGAACGTTTCTCTATAAGATCATCGATTTTTTCATAGCTTTTCTAGGTGAAGCAGATTCATGTCTCCGTTTATGTGACGGTGGGCGGCGGGTGGAGGTTGGTGGTTGGCGTCCAGCGTCTGTAACAAATTCTAAAAACCTTAACAAATACTGTATATAGACTGACTTCAATTTTTTTCAAAATTAACTCCGAGTTCTTAGAAGTTCAAATCTGACTTATCTCACAATATTTTCACTAGGCACCTTTTGAGGTGGATCCCGGCTATGGCATTAATGGTTGAGAAATAGGGATCGAAACCAGCCATAGTTTTCTCCTGATGACCATTGTGAATTATTGTGTTTTATGGATTATGGCGACGGCTTTAATTGTGAATGGATGTTGACCGTTTGAAACGCCTCTGGACTTGGAGACTGGATTTTATCTTTCCCACATCATTTGAGACTGAATGCTCTATCTTGTATGAGTACTTGTATCTACAACAATTTTTGAGGTTATGAGTATTGGCTATCAATTTCTAATTTTTTCTTCAACATGTATTGTAATGACTTCAGTATGAATGAAATGTCCCTGGGTCTTCTGGTCTTGGATTGTGATATTGATTCTTAAATGGTGGGGGAAAGGGGGTATTAGACATTGTTTCTTTTCACGTTAGATCATGGTTTTGGGGTATATGGGGTTTGTTTTTCTTGACTGGTATGCAATTAGAGTTTGCTTTTTCTTGCTAAGTTCCATTACAACTTTTGGTAATTTTTGATAGTTTTTCAACTTGCTTCAAATTGACCAAATTTTTTTTCAAAATCATCTCCAAGTTCTTAGAAGTTCAAATTACCCTGTCATACAAATGTCGTATATAAACTAGGTATCATGTAAAATCTATGACATCTCGTTGGGTTTCCTAGACTGGTCGTTGGGTTACCTTATGTTTATGTATCTTTTATTCCAACATAAAGGATGAGTACAGTATTACATAAAATTATTTAAGATATAATAGTACATAAAGTTATTTAGGATAAGATATAAAAACAGAGATATAGAAAGTGAAGTACCACTATCTACAGCAAGCTACATATTTTATTATACAAGTTGTATATATGCTGAGCAGTAGTAATATATTATATTCTTGTTCATTAAGCATATTAATTTTATTTTTTATATTTTATTTTGATTGGTGTGACTTTTTGTATGTCAAGATGGGTCGGAGTTTTTCCTTCAATGTTGTAGAAGCATGTTTAAATGTCAAATTGGCATTTATTATTTCGTCACTAGTTTGCTACATGAGCAAAATATCTCAGCACGATAAAATATTGATCATAAAAAGTAAACCGCTTCGACCTACATTTTTTATTTTTAAGATTCGATGTCGTTCTGAAATATTGATTTTAAAAATGCACAGTTGGGTCGTTGTGGATTCTTAAAATAATGAATGAGAATTAAAACCGTCACTTACTACATTTTTTTATTTTTGACATTTGAATCCATTTTATTCTTACACTAATCTTAATAATAATAATACTCTCAAAGAATCTATTGTAAAATATCTAATTTAATTAATCACTTTCATGTTACACAATTAAAACGAGAAACCGCCATGACCTTGATTTCCTATTTTTAAATTGTAATCAATTTTATTCTGACACTAATCTATTTTTGATGCTATGAGTATTGGATATGAATTTTAAATTTATTCTTATTAACATATCTTGTAATAAGTTTAATATGAATTAAATATCCCCTGGTGTTGTGGTCTCGGATTGTGATAATGATGCTTGAATTTTGGGTGGGGGAGGGGTATTAATCATTCCTTTCATGTTGAATTATGGTTTGGGATGGTTTGACACTTCGTCCATAATATCATTTAATGCTAAATGAAATAAATTGCGAGTCTTGCATTGTTTTAGAACGTTTTAAAATATGTTATTTCAGACTGTAAGAATGTAAAATGTGCTGATGTAAGTCGTTGTACACATGGGTCACATTTGCCTTCAGGAAGATGTTGTCCAATCTGTAACATGACAAGTAAGACTTTTTAACTTTTATTTATCAAGTTTATTAGATTGTAAAAACTCCCTTGCTGGCATATCAGTTACAGACTATTTTTTACTTTCTTAAAATATAATATCTAGGTTATTAAATTAACATTGGATTAAGAAGGAGAAGGTTCACTTTCGGAACAGCATTCCTTAAACTGGATTGAAACTTGCCAAATCCAAAAACAGGTGTATGTAAGCCCCTCTCCTAGCCCCCCCCCCCCCCACAAAACAAGTATATAGGAGCATTGAAATTGAAAAATAAGCATAACTCATGACTTAAAATGTCCTTTCTATGATTTACACTTGTATATTCTCTCAGGACCCATGGTGCCCGAATCTATTGTGAGTTTGAAAGCAAAAGTGTGTAATCCTGTGAAATGTAGGATTTATTGTGAATTTGGATACAGCAAAGACGACCATGGGTGCGACATGTGCAAATGTAAGGGAAATCCATGCGACGTAAGCTTATAAGTATTTGTTTAAAATGTCCACGTACCAGATATCTCGTATTTTTCCTCAATATGATACCTCGATATATCACGATCTCCATTGTGTAATGTGGTTATCACATGGAAACTGATTATCACCATGTTTAGCATAGATATACATTCAGAATGTTGGAATTCTGATTGTGCATCAAGTCCATGGTCAATACCTTAACTAACAGTTTAAAAAAGGTAGGTGTCATTACAGTCTTACTTCAATTGATCACTAAATTTTAATTCACAGTTTTTACTGAGCAATTGCATATAATATTCATATCGACAAATACAATCATACTGTTGTGGAACATTGTTCAAGTCAATATTTGATGTTGAGATGAAATATCACGTGTTTATTCGGGCACTTTAACATTACCACATATTACATTTGAAACGTCAACAATAGCGCATGGTATCCGTGACTTTCAATATGTTAGATTGAATTATGAGCATGACCTGCAATGTGATAAAGTCAATTGCATTAAAGTTCGAGATGAGATAAAGCATAATAGAGAGGTTAAGCTACACGTATAAATGCAAACCGTGAACCTGAACGCGTAAGTCCACGCTCAAGTACACGTTTAAGAAAATTTTCCGTTAAGCTACACGTCTGAAACCATGTCAGTGGACGTGGAGCTATATTTATGTGGCGACTGTGTCTAAAGGTCATGTCTCTATGGTGTAATGGATAGCACTTCGCGATCGGCAATCTAGCACTTCACGTATTTCCGTTAGGCCCTGGTTCGAATCTAGTCGCAATAAAACTTTTTGTTTTTTATTTTTGAGTTATTTCATATTCAACCACAATCAGAGGGTCTAGTGCACTTTCCATTATGATTTCCCCATGATCAAAATGAATCATTTTTAACTGTAACATAAAGAATACACTGTCACATAATACTTTGAAAAACATTTAAGCGTTTGGACCCACATTGACTGAGGTTGAGGTCATTAAGTTCAGCAAGGGTATATTGACTTCACATTGGATGTGTTCTATTGACTTAACATGTGGATACCATCAGATTCCGATGGAGGCCATTGGTTTCTATTGAGTTTCCCAAATATACCTAAAATACACTATGACCTGAATCGATTGCAAATTAAATAAATTCACAATATGACACAAATGGTATATCACATCAGATGTGCAAATATAAAGTTTGCAATCGATTCAGGTCAAACTTCAAATTAAAAGATAATACATTTTTCATCATTTTTTCCTACAAAAGCAACTTTTACACTTATGAAATCCCCTACAACTTTGTAAATACAAAGATTATACTGTTATGTTTTATTGATTAATAACATATTTGGATAAGATGTAGGGGTGTGTAGGATGCAAATGGATTTTGACAGACACAAAAAGACTTCATGGTTTGGCATCTCTACCCCTGTACACTTAATGATTGAATATTGGCCCTAATAAGTGGCCCATTCATCAATACAGTGCTGAATATAGGTCAACAAGATACAAGTGTACATATAAATGTAATAATAAAAGCAGTATATTTATTTTGAAAAATCAGATGAATTTATTTTTGTTCTTTGGGAGATCATAATGGAGGACGCACTAGATCCTTTCTTGCCCTGGTTGTCATTTCATTTCGTTTAGTATACATATTGTACTAAGCCCTGGGCATCAAATTGGTCTTGCCAATTTATATTGTACGGAATTAACAAACGATCACATTTGAACTCGTCATTTACCCATTAAAATGTATTCTTATTTCCAATTAAGGATTGGGGTTTACCAATATAACAAGCAAAATTGTCTGTATCAAATATGGGCTCCAGGGCCATCCTAGAACATAGCTAAAATCAATCAAGTAATGAGCGACGTGTAATCACTCATCTACACGTAAAAACCTGTAACTTTCACGCTTACCTCTAGAAAGTAGACTAATCTGACGTCATTTTCCTGCGTGCGCATAGAAGTACACGTTCATGCTTTGTTGAATACGCGTCTGTAAATTGCACGAATATGATAATCTCATGTAAAAACCTGTAAACTTTACACTGGCCACAGGAAATAAACAAATCTGACGTCATTTATCTGCGCGCGCATTGAAGTTCACGTTCAAGTTTTGTTTAATACGTGTAGCTTAACCTCTCTACTATCTTATAATAAAACTCAATTGAACAAATTATTGTGTCTAGAAAAGCTGTTGACAACTCAAAGCGTAAAATACAGCTAACTGTTATGCCTTGGTCACATTTGCTCCGATCCATCAGCCGGCGCCCGGCCGATTGAGTGATTTGTTCAATATTGTATTCTATTTTGAACTAAATTCTCAATAGGCCGGGCGCCGTATTGAAAATCGGGGCAAATGTGACCAAGGCATTACACACTGGTCCTACACTCATACACAAGTCACTCACATGACCTCTTTGGTACTCTGATTACGGAAAATAAAACAAGTTTTTCACCAAAAAGAAGCAAGAAGCACTCTTACCAAATACCTGCAAACTTATATATTAACCGATGAAGGTATAAAGCTAAAATTTCCTTTTAGTATATAATAGTAGATGGTACTGTAATCTATAATGAAAGATGAAAGTAAAATTGTAAAATTACATTTTACGCAATCTAACTTACAGTAAAATTTTAAATGTTTGTGAGTACTTTGAATTTAAAAAATAAGCAATCAAATGACCAAATTGAAACAGTTTATGTAAAAATAGAAACATTTATATTTATCCTAACTTTTGTATATTTTAGTTTGTTTTGTAGTTTAGCTATCATATCTGGATAAAACAGAGCTACTTATGGAAGTTGAAGCTGTAGAGAACAGATATTCCATAGATATCCTTCAGGAGAACCTCAAAAAGTATTGAGATGTCTGCTCAAGACACTGCTCTTTTCAATGCCCTTTTAACTTTATATCCAGCCTGACTGGCAGCCGTTTAAAGCTGCAGGGGATAGTCAAATTCTCTTTTAAAAGTTGGTCCAAATTATGTATTATTTTCTATCATCCATCTTCATCTTTTCACACTCTAAGAACAATTAAATGCTCTTTCCAATGGTATATAGTATGCATGTGTACCTCTTCTAGTTTATGCTGGGGATAGGGGGCACAACGCCATTTGACACCCTGTACAGTGTTATCTTTCAAAGGAGGCAGGTCTCGGCTTCAAGAGGCAGTCGTATCAAAGCAAAGTTGAATTTTGAAGCTTATATTATTACTATATACTATAAACTTTGTTGATATTCCAGTTCATCCCTCCTTGCCATGCTCAGACCCAGCTAAAGATACATTTGGAAATATCACGACATGTAGCAAGGTCGATGGCAACTCTAAATGTCCCACTGGCTACGGTTGCCGGAAATCTGTGTGATTTCCCATCATTTTGTTGTCCATCGACGCGATGCCAATACGGAGATGAGATCTACAAGAACGGAGATACATTTCCCTCTCTTGACGGATGTAACACATGTTTTTGCATGAATAACGGAGATATCGGATGTACTGAAATGGAGTGTCCCAAGAAAGGTTGTACCCATAATGGAAAGAACCAGGTACACGGGGAAAAGTTTCCCCGGGGTGATGGATGTAACACCTGTACATGTGGAAATGGAGTTGTAAGCTGCACAGATACAGACTGTGCTCGTAAGTATCGCATCTAAGATATGTCTAAAGTAACACGTCCTATTAAAGGGAATCTAGAATGTTTCACTATCATGATCTTATCTTAGATTTAAGGTTTCGTTGAATGCTGAGTGTGGAGCTTGACACACGTATTGTTCTCTCATATGTATCTTTGTATCTTAGACTGTAAGCGAGCTGAAATCATATATCAAGTTGATGAATACGTCGAGAATGGATCATGTGCGCTATGTCAGTGCGTCAATGATCACTCCGAACCTTTGGGCGCAAGGATTGCTTGTGCAGTTACCGATTGCCCATCCATTCGATAATGAAATTAACGGTTGCGACAACTATTTGATTGGTCCACGGACCTGATGGAGTGACTAATAGAATGATCAAGTGATGTGCCACCATTTTATGTATTTCTGCAAGTCGTTCAATAAAATTCTAGAAGAAGGAAGGAATTGTTTTCCACTGTAATATTTAAGAAAGAGGACAGAGGTTTAATATGCAATTTCTACCTGTCTCTCTAGTATGCAATTTTTCAAAAACATGAGACAAAAAATAGTTCATACTAGACCTACCAAAACATAATACTGTGAATCATCTTGTTAATATTGTTCACGATCTTCATATTAATATAGATCAAGGTAAAAATTTACGTCCCATCTTCGATTGATGTCATTTCTTCAAAAACGTGTGGTTAGCGATAATACAGTTCTTGGAATTTAAGAATTTTTGTTTGATCAGTATTACTATTGTTCCTGTAGTTAAGACATTCTAGATATTTAAAAAAAGGACGGAAATTCCAAAATGGCAGCCTTCATTCAAGATATGATGCATTAAAAATACATTTTGATATTTCCTTTCCAGTTATACATTAGACTTGGGCGTTATGTGATTAAGGATGAATTATCCATGGGAAATGAGTTGTCTAGGTGATGAGTTGTCCAGGGGATGAGTTGTGTAAGGTTTGAGTTTTCCGACGATGAGTTTTCCAGGGGGTGAGCTGTCTGCTTACCTTGGTATTACGTAAAATACCTCTCCACCTTCTCCCATAATGTCCTTATATTAACGATTTATTTAGACCGTTTTTGATAAGTTAGAGAAGTATTTATTCAGAAGAATGAACTTAAACTTGAACCCATATATAGTCTTTAAGATATGATATTGTTATCATGATGTTTTAAGACAGCAGTGAAAAAAATTAAAGGCATTGGAAATGAAGTCCAATTACATTCCCATTAATTAATATAAGTATTTTCTCCACAGGATATTAAATAAGAATTCAAACATAAAGAGGCTTTAACACGTAGTTCAATGAGGGAGCTAAGGTTGCCAAACTCATGGAGGGGAGTGTAAGATCAGTACGTCTGCCGCTAATACAAATCCTACTTTGGCAATAAAAGTAGATAGCATACGTTTTTCTGCACTTGTTTACGAACAATTCTTTCTGGTCAAACTCGGTCAATTAAGATTATTGGCTCACTGCTGGCCACGTATAAGTGCAGCACGTTTAAGAGTTTAAAAACTAGATATTACCTTGTTTTTAAACTCCATTCAAAATACATAATGTTATGTAATCCATGAATGCTTTTCGATACCTAGGCTAGTGCGATTCTAGGCCAATGCAGTTCTAATGCACTTCCTTAAAGGTGTCCGAGTCTAAAGTGATCGTTTCAATACTTTTATTTGAATCTGTAAGCCAATGAAATACATGATTTTTGTAAAATTTAAAATCTGAAATATTAGGTTAATGTTAATTAATCAACCCTATCCAAAAAAACATATACCATTGTACAAATAATATAAATATATTTAAAATGTACAAATATATTGTAGAAATAATATAAATATATAATTAAGGGGTGATTCATTGTATCGATAGCAACTATATATACATTAAATTAGGTTTCAAGCTGCAATGTTGTATGATTGATAATAAAAAAAATTGTTACCAGTGAAATATTAGAATAAATGAAAATCATATTGAAAATTAAAAGCACTTGGAAATAACTTAATGGTATCATTAACAGCGTTTTGAGAACGATTTAAGAATGATGATTTCGGATAATTACTTATAATGGCGTTGTGCATATTCATAATGATTTTATATTTCCCGCCAGATAACACTTTAAACTTACGTTCTCTGATTTGCATTCAATTGTTCGCGTTTGCTTTGAGTCTAACATTGCGCTGACTCGATTACACGCATCATAAGCGTTGCGTTCTGCGGCCGCTGTTGTAACGCAAACACAACGCAGACTTATTTCAAGTGTAACGAATACAGATTACAGAATATAGCAATACAGATTGGTACAGCACAAGAACTGACCAATCAGAAGGCTTCATTTTACAGATCATGCGATAAATTGTTATATTTTAGGTCACCAAAAAGTGGTGACATATTGTTATGCTCTCCGTTTTTTGTCACGGCGGTTGGTGATCGGCGGTCGGCGGTTGGCGTCTGTAACAATTCTTAAAACTTCCAATAACATAACAAATACTGTTTAGACTGACTTCAGTTTTCTTCAAAATCATTTACAAGTTTTAAGAATTTCACATCTGACTTTATATTGAAGATGTGACCTTCGGTGACCTTTTCAAGGTAAAAAAAGGTCAAAAAGTTATCTTTTCAACTTGCTTCTTTATCAAATTTCTTTTTCAAATCATCTACAAGTTATCAGAAGTTCAAATCTGACTTTAGCTTTGAGGTTTGAACTTCTCATGGTAAAAATGGTCAAAAGGTATTTTTTCAACTTCCTTCAAATTGACCAATTTTTTCAAAAGCATGTAGAAGTTCTCAAAACTTCAAATCTGACTAAACATTTGACCTTCAATGACATTCTCAAGGTCAGAAAAATATTTGACCTTCTCAAGGTCATTGAAGGTTTTTTCAACTTGCTTCAAATTGACCCATTTTTTCATCTACAAGTTCTCAGAAGTTCAAATCTGACTTTAGATTTTAGATTTCACCTTCCATGACCTTCTCACGGTCATTAGGTGGTGACATTTTGTCATGTTAATGCCTTGTTGGTTTATGTTGTACCTGCATGTCATTTATAAGAAATTATAATACAGAATTATATATCGCACATTATATATGAATATGGTATGTTTGTTTCATAAGTTACAGTTTTAAAAAATTAATCGGATGGAAACATACTATTTCATGTTGAACAAAACAGCGACAATCGATGGTCTAGTGATTTTGGCAATGTTACTTCCATGTTGTGAAAAATCCATTGGTCAGCATTTTCTGTCCATGGGGCCACTTAAATCACGAAACGGGATTTTAACTTTGGATTAGAATACAGGTTCATTTTTGACACCGTAAAGCGATAGCAAATACGTTGAAAAAAATGTAAGTATGATAATATTTTTTATTAGTAGATCAAGTATATAGCCTAATAAGTTTTTTTTATAATTATAACTAAATGTTTTTATCATACTTATTGACAACAAAATACGCAATGCATATTAATCCCCATGTGGCTTTACACATCGTTTTGGTTAGTTTTCATGTGGCTGTAAAGTAGCTATAACATTGGCCGTGTGGCTTCGTCGTTGGCCAATTTATGTTTGTATTTTGTGTGATCTGGGATACATTGCTGAAAAACTATTTTTGCCCACTATGCATATCGTGCCCCGTATTCTGCCCCCAAAGTATTTACACGGCGGCGAAAGTTGAGCCCACTCGCCAGGGTTGAGGAGCTTGACTAGGAAGCAAGTTTAGAATATTGGGAGTGTTTAATATCAATTGTTAGATATATAATGGTACATTGGTTGACATTGTAGACCTTGTAAACATATACATCATTTTGGAGATTCATTTCTTTTTACCTAAATAGATTATGGCGTTATCAATAAGGCGATACTGAGGATGAAAATCACAAACTCACAAAGAATCATATAAATTACTATTATTTTATGGAATACAGGTTAGTCAATAAATAGGTGTTGAGTTTTGTTTGGTTAACTTTTCCATGGGTTAGTCGACTTGAGGTTACATAAATTCATTTTGGGGTTGTTTGCTTTGTTTAACATTTGTTGGAAGACCAACTTCATTTTGGCAAAAAGACGATAAAATGGCAATGACAGATCGCAAATTACCAGGTCGTTCAATAAGTTCACGGAAAATGCTCTCATTTCAAAGATGATCTTATGAAAGTTTTACACAATGTATAACAAATGTTTGTTTATTGATTCCTAAAATATCAGCATCTCTAATTTGATTTGTAAAAAATAATGGTTACTACGGTAACTTGACTTTTTGGTATATGCTTAAAAGTATGGCTAGCCTTTTTACATGAAAACATGCAAGTAGCATCGTTTTTCTGTAACATCACTTTTCTATATTTTTAAGCCCCAGTCACATTTGCTACGGCTACCATTCGGTCTATCATTTCAGCGGTTTTCCATGATGTACATATTTGAACAATGACAACGTCTATGTTTCCTCTATGTTGTGATATTTGAACAAAGCCATCCTCTTTGTATCCTTTGGGACATCCTCTTTGTTTCTTCTTTATTGTTGATACTTAATCAATGACGTCTCCTTTGTAGATACCTGAAGAAGTAGATACAATGAAGGTTGTTCACACACTTAGCCTCTTGTGTGCTATTTTCGGGTACCTCTTGTCTCAAAGCCAAGTCATGGGTGCAGACCATGACAAGGATTCAGACCATGAACAGGAGTGAGTTAAAGTTCACTTTGAGTGCTTTACAATGATATGTAATGGATATTTTGATTTTTATACAATGCCAATAACTGATTTTGTTTGCTATCTAATAAAACCTGTTTAGGAAAATGTCTATTTTTTTGTTTCAGGGATCCCTTCCTATTTGGAGTTGAAGGTGCTTGGCCACCATACTCTTACCAGTGAGTACAAGCAGCCAAACAGTTTCACCATCAAAAGTAGCATTAAACACTTTTTCAGTGTATGGCAAGAAATATACACTTTTGATTGGAAAAAATGAACAATTCCATAAAAGAAATATGGGTTATTTCAAGGTTAATTTCCAAGAGGAATTTTATTCAAGGGTAATATGATAATTAGCCGTGGGAAATAATTATGTCGACCGAACAAACTCAGCGAGTGAGTGTCCGTGTGGTTGATTTTGAAAAAACGTGGAACGCAGACTGAGACTTGATACATGTATATGCTTTGCCGGTATGAGTGTAGCTGTTGAATATATTCATATCATATACGTTTTTTAAGTGTTCTTTTTCTGTTGCCCATCGATGATATCATCCATCTTGATGTAAGGAAATCTTTCCATTTTGAATTTTCGTCTGACCACTTCCTGTTGACGCACTAAACGAAAAGGATCGACAAATTGTTGTTTTCAGAGATGAGGCTACAGGAAAAGGCATTGGCTTCCTCCATGATGCAGTGAGAGAAGTGTGTAAAGTTGCTGGCAAGAATTGTGGAATTGTGTACTCAATGTCAAATCTAGAGAATTGCTATAACCCTGAAAAACTGTCCGGAAAGGGTAAGTGACATAAAGTTTAAGACCAGAATGTACAAAGCAACACTTGTAACGTATAATCTGTCATAAGAGAGTAAGTGCAAAACAAGACACGATGCCCTGGCCATGGCAAACCCTATGGCATAGGCAATGGCATCATCTGTGCCATAATCTTGAGGACAATATTTCGAGTCAAATCCTTATTAAAATGAAAAGGAAAACCAAGACTATGAATAAGCTATAACGCGCTATTCAATCAGGAGTCTTTTTGAGGGAGTGTGCACAACCTATACAACAGAAATATCTTTATTTTCTTTTGATATATTTTCTCATCCTCACATAATCAGTTTCACAAAAGTAAAGTGTCCCTATTTAAAAATCATCACAATTATAGGATTGAATGACAGACACTTTGGAGCATGCCTTGGATGGACTGCCACGATGCCAAGATGGAATGTCTTTAACTTCTCTTCACCCATGCTAGATATCACTCCTGCCCAGATCTACGTCAAGTCGGATTCTGGTATCTCTTCTGTTGATGCCCTTGAAGGAAAAACGTTTGGTAACTATAAATTGAATACTTTGTCAAACATATAAGTGCAAACTGGAGAAAGTGATATCAATAGCATTAATGATCTACAGAGTATAGCTTTTATTGGATTTTTCGAGAGTAATATGGAGACTGACTTAAAAAGACTGCATCTCAGACAATGTCAGATGTTTAGTTTTGACAAGACAGTGACAAATCTTTAACCAGCATTTCAGAGCACGTTGAATATTCGAAGTATTTTATATATATATATTTATCCCATACTTGGACGTGTTACAGGTACATAAAGCCGGTTTGTAAAAACTTATATTTTCATCAGCGGGCAGATATAGCTTTACGTCCCGCTCCGAACGGGCAGATATAGTATATCTGCCAGCTACGTCATAATCGCCGCTCGCATATTTGTTCATAATTTGTAACGTTCGCGTAATGACTGTAAACGACAATGGAGAAAACACAGACAATCGGGATCTGTGATGGTTTAAAAAAGAGAAGGATCATCCACTTAATCAATCAGAAATTTGAGAAAATAAATGTGGGAATATTTGAGAGAACAGGAAAATCCGCCCACGGCCAAGAAAACAAAATTGGACATGAATATTCTAGAATATTTCCACGATTGAACAATGTTAAACAGATTACCAAGATTGGTATGGGATAAACATATTATCCTATAGTCGGTTCAGGATATTGGGATTATCCCAATATCCTGAACCTCATATAGGATAATCTCTATATACGTAACGGTATGTAACAGCACTTTTCACAGGGAGGGATTTGTTGTTTACGTAGGTTTTCGTCAGTTCTGGTACATGGATAAGTTCTGCATGCGACACTCTGGTTTGGCAATAGATGATGAACAAGTGAAAGAGATCTTTGCAGAAAATGGATGGGAAGATGTTGCCAAGGCCCTGGATGATGGAAAGGTGTGGACAAATATATAATACTTCCAAACTTTATTTTTATTTTTACAAAGGATCCATACAGTTTTTCAACTTTGCCATGTGATTCCATTATTTTATATTTTTGTAATGCTTATTTCAAAATATAGAGGTCATCGATTGTGGAAATATATATTATGGCTCCAAAGTTTTTGAATCGTCCCTTTTTTGGCTCTAACGATAAACCAAATATGAACTAATATACACTCCCCTCCATAAGTTTGGCAACCTAAGCCCCCCATCGGACTACCTGTTAAAGCCTCGTCACGTTTGAATTTGAAGGAAACGTAACTTGACTTTATTTCCAATACCTCCAAATTTTCCCATTTTTTCCCTCGATTACAATAGGTCGAAAATTGATGATAAAGATGAATTTTTGAAAATCGTCATTCCCATGTAAACCAATGGGAAATTGTGGGTTCTGGTCAAATAGGAAATCAGGATATCTATTCAGTAAAAGATTCAGCAAAAAAATATTTTTATATAGAAAGTTGAATTGTCAAATTTTTTTATACACCAAGTGTTTAGTTTACTTGATGAATAGATGAATACTAAAGTTACAGAGCTTCACAGTCATTTTTGAAAATCATTTTTCGCCTCCTGTGTTATTTCAATGGGAGATGTTTTTTGAAAAACAACTTTGACTTTAAAGACTTGTAACTTTGTTGAACCTGAAGAAACGTATCAATTTTTTTGTTAAATAACGTTAGCAAATTCAATTGCCTACTTAACCATGTATTGTTCAAGGGCTCGGATGAATGGCTTTTCTGTCATATACGAGGGGTGATCCAAAAGTCTTGGACATCCTGCTCTCATTTTGTTGGTTTTTGATAAAATTACTTTAAACTATCCAATAATAAAGACCAACAACCTAACTACTTTGTGTATTAATTTCATGGTGAAATGATATATTTTATGTAGTTTTCTCGATAGTTATTAATATAGTGACCCTGCCACCCGGAACGGTATTCGCACATGGCAACTTTCAGCCTTAAATGTTGTCGCTATTTGACTTGTTTTGCAAGTCTTGACCACTATCTTTCCTTAAATTTTGAATATTAAACCATGTTAGTTTACTTCCTTTGTTACTAGGCAACCAATTAATTGTGTTTTAATCATATTGTCACATATGACAATGGCCGTATATGTCAAGTTCTAAGAAAATGACATCAGACAATCAGTCCTCATTCTGGTATCATTTTTGCTCCAAGATGGCTGCTGAAATGCAGAACATGAAAGAAATGAAAGTGGAACAAAGAATAATACTATATATTTTCACTATTATTGACATTGAGCAGCTACCATATGCACAATACAGTCTAGATATGGCTCTGTGTGATTTTCTTCCTTTTCTCCAAGTTGAAAGGAGGATTGAAAGGAAATGTTTTTTGCTCATTGGATGAGGTTTAGAGTGGCACTCCAGCAGCATTTGTATCACATAAGCAATGACGGTTTCATAAGTGTCTTTCATTCATTGGTAAAGCGGTATGAAAAATGTGTTCGAATTCGTGGAAAATATGTTGAAAAGTAGGTCTTAATATGTAAAGATGATGAGGGCAGATGACACTCGGACTGAAAATCGGAAATTCTCTCATATCATTACTGGTGTTAGGTTGTGCATCTGCACCTAAAGTATTTGCCATATTATAACAGTTGTGACGCGATTTGCTATATTTAAATGACGTTCCGGGTGGCAGGGACCTGGTATCAAAAACTATTTAGGAAAGTACCTAAAATATACTATTTTCTTTTGAAACTTATACACAAAGTTGTTAAGATGTTGATCTTTATTATCTGAAAGTTTCATGCATTTATATAAGAAAATAGCAAAGTTGGAGCAAGGCGTCCAAGACTTTTGGATCACCCCTCGTACTTGCGGCAAATCTACCATTTCCCATTGGATAACAAGGGAATGTCGATTTTCAAAATTTCATCAAATATATCATCAATTCTGTCAATTTTCGACCTTTTGTAATTGAGGAAAATTCGAGAAAATTTGGAAGTATTTGAAATAAAGTCAAATTACGTTTCCATAAATAGTATAAGTATTTTCGTCGCAGGTTAAGTAAATAAAAATTCAAAGGTAGAGAGGTTTTAACACGTAGTTCAATGGGGGAGCTAAGGTTGCCAAACTTATGGAGGTGAGTGTATGTACATGTATACATCTATAAGTAAATACAGTATTTGCAATTAAGTATGAAAATTGGCATCCATTTCAAACTCTTGACTACAAAATAAGTGTGTACCTGCATAATTCACATTGAAGAAGATGATCCTAAAGTAAGTTAGTTTTTGCCAAAATTTGAACCACTCTAAGCCAAGTACATTGTCACTTCTGTCTATGACCCTTTTCAGATCAATTAGAGTTGTTAATTGAACCCGATGTGTTTAGGCATTAACTTTTATACGTTTATTAAGGTTGATGCCGTGGTACTACCCGACGGTCATGAATTAGCACGGGAAAAGAACCTCATGCCTTTGGTTACAGCCGTGGATTGCTCATATGGAGGCGCTACGGGTCTCATGCACAGGAAGGACGTTGACACTACATGGTTCAGCAAGGCTCTGCGAGAGGTTAAAGAGGGCTTTGCATATTCGGATTTATGCAGAAAGTGGAGTAAGTAGTTTTGTTTCTTGTTAACTCATATAGACAAGTATTGAAAAGGGGCAAGCGACGTCTCCGTTAAATCAAAAAGCACAATATGTAACAGTTATAGAATATATATAAAATATATATTAATAATCTCTATTTTGTAACAGTCGATTATGAGGGCATCCAAAAGTTAGATCAATAGTTCGTTATGGATCACACAATGATTGAGCGTGTATTATATACATACATGTAATCAATTCATGCCAATTTCAGACGTGCAGAACTGTTGCCAGTAAATGGAGCTACCGTCAAAAAGAGAAATCAATAAGGGACGATTAGATCAAAAAGAGAGAAATTGAATTATTTGCTACAGTATTAGTGTCAAGAAAAAAACAATTTGTACAAAATTCAAACTGAAAAAATGTTACCTTTAGAAATTAATTATTATATTATAATGTCAAAATATTATTTCATCGAGGTTAGCACCTGATGTGATTTTAGAAGATTTCTTCGAATCAATCGTTTATATCACCTCATCCTATCACACCTGTCATGTCCACCTTCCACAACACAACATTGTGAATTATGTAAAATATTGTATTTGGATTGAATTGATACTTGCATTTTGAAGATTAAACGTTTAGGCATTTTACTAAATTTTACTGTATACATTATTTTCAACTGCAAAACCATAGAGGTATAACAATATGTATTTGCTTTTGGTGGGGTTTCCACCAGTGATAAACAATTATGGGAGCTTATCACTTCTTCCGTGTCCTTCCAATTGAACGGAAATCCTTACTTCACTTTGGTCAGGGCAAACTTTTTCTCAATGTTACAATGTTTGCCATCTATACGATAACTGTAAATGTATTTCGAGTTAACCTTATCAGCACTATGTTAATATTGTGATGTAATAGTATTGTCATTGTATGATATTATGTAATTATCAATTTTATAACAAATAAACAGAAAATTTTATACAGGCAATGGGATGGCTCGAAATACACCAAACCTTTTTGTATTATGTTTGCATGATTAGTTGTTACGGAGTCATATAAAAATTTAATATCGACAACATATTCTTTACTACTGCATATAGGCTGCCAAATGGTAAAGACTTTGATAGGTAGGCTTAGATTTTCCCATAGACTAAATGCGAAATAAGTAATTCTTTAATGGCATGGTATGGTAATCGACTTGTTTTTATTCATAATTTCTCTTTGATAGAATTCTGCTGCTTACATCTTTATATTGGTCAAAAATCTATGGATGATCCAGAACAATAGCTTCAGTTCATTCCCCTGTAGTACACTGAGCAGCTCCTCGAGTGTAAAAAAGGGTGCGGTCTTGCTATCTGACTTATACCATGAATTGCTAAACTAATCTGTTTGGTTTGGTAGACCTAATATGTGAAACAGGTATCAACAATTGATCATGTTTATGTTAAGTACATTTAAGTACATCTATTCTTGAACTTTATGCATGTGACATGCCTAACATCATTGCCATTGTAAGGAATGTGAAATAAAGTCAAATTGACCCTTAAAGTCGCGCCTCTCTCCGAAAATCAATTTTAGGTTTGTCCCGGGGTCCCTGGTGATATGTTAAGCTTTAATGAGAAAATATACAATAATGAACAAATGGAGCAAATACTGTGAAGAAATACTCACGATAAAGATGTTATTTTGATGATTGTTTCTTCAATTGCTCAGAAGTTCGCTGGTAAACAAATTTCTTCGAAGATTTCTAAATTTATGAGTTGAGATCTACTTTTGAGATATTTTGGAATTATTTACAGGTTATTTATAAAGAGAAACTTAAATGACAGGCCCGTAACCAGGCGGGCTCGTAGGGCTCGTCCATGGAAACCTTCCCCACATACACTTAGCAATTTAAATAAGAACTGGCATTACTCGGCATTGTTTTTGTTTTAATTTGATCATTATATTTTAAAATTTGGGCCTACATTTTTCTGCATGCAAGCGACATTTTTGTGCCACTTTCCCTTTGGATTTTCAGGATCTCCCCTTGTATTTTGTGAATATACTTCAGTTTGATGATTTTGGCAATTATTGTGCAAAATAATTGTAGACAACCGTGTAAAAGATAATGATCGATCGATCACATGTCCTGAATAGATAAACAGTATTCGTAGCATTACGTTATTTAAGGAATAAAGACCGAGGTTTTTATGATTGATGACGTGATATTTGACCGAAAATGTTCATTGTTAAAAGACCGAAAAGGAATCGCGATTGAGGTCTTTGACAATGGCCAGAATAACATTTGAAGTCATATATTTGACATAAATCATAAAATGTGTGTGATACACTTATTGAATAAATCTTGATACTTATCTAATAAAATGATATGAATGAAAAATTTCTAAGCTACGTTGTATTGTAATTGTAAATACAGATTATGGACAACCTGTTTGGTCCTACTTGAGTCCGTTGTTCGCTATATTTTAAACAAAAATAATCATAAAAATCCTGTAGCTCTCACACCAAAGTTCAACAGTCCAGCATTACTAGTAGTTACAGAAACGAGAGTTCTGACACACCTATAACATGGAGTCCTATGGGGAGGGACACGATTTTTCATATTACCCTCCCTAACATGGGCTCCAATGGGGAGGGACATCTGTGAGCCTCCCTGAGCTCGGGAGGCACATACGGGGACCCCACCCCTCCCCCCTCGGCGTGGTGGCGTGTACATATTTCGGGAATCTCGGGCCCTAAGGTAACGGACGCCCTACCCCACGTTTGTACGTTTACTGTAAGGGATACTATTCGAATTCCCGCCAAAAACAATAAATCGATAAACCAGTACGCGTCGTAAATGTCACTGCCTTATTTATAAAGTGCGGCCCAGGCGGATTATCGATTACCTATCAACCAGGCGTTTCGTACTCGCGAGGTCTTATCGTTTTAAGGTCATCCAGCTGTCAGTTTACAAAACAAATTACTCTGGACTGTACTTTAAAGTGCGGACCTAGCTCGATTATCGATTATCAATCAACCATCCATCAACTTTAATTAGTGTAACGTCCTTCATCGATTTAAGATCATACCGTTTAATGGATGTTACATTTGGTTGGGATAAATATTTATTTGCTAATTCGTCAACACACTTCTTTTCAAAATACATCAACTATAATACATATTTACATTATAACATTCAAAATTCTTCATTGAATCATACACAAATTACAAAGGTATTAAATCGGAATCTTTAACCCACGAATCAAACTTTTTTGGCCAATATTGTCAACGCACTAAATGTTCCCGTTGCCCTCGTCTAGTTCGTGTTTTCAAGATTTTTTCTACTTTCCAAATATCATCTTCATTCGCTTGTACTCTTTGAAGCTCCGATTGGTAAAAAGTACCCTTAATGTCTTCATTTTGAAAATCATTTAAACGATATAATGGGAGGCCCTGCCTAATAAAACGTTTCGTTACTTTAAAAATTTCCCCTGTCCAATGTTGGTCGTATTCTCTACTAAAAACATGTCTCGACTGGGTAATTCTTACCAGAGCTCCAATGGGGAATTTAAAGATGTGATTAGATTTGGTTTTAACGATAGTTGATTTAGGATAATACATCCGCCACCAAATAACCAATTCATCGTCTTTAGATACATTTTTAGGAGCCATTTTTATACCCCTATGCCAAGTGGCGTTATAACTTTTAACAAAATTTTGCAAATTGTCTATATATCTATAGTTCTGTTTATATGTCATGAACCTCATCATTTTCGTCTTCAATGTCTTTTTAAGGCGCTCGGAAAAGTTGGCTTTGGGCGTATTTTCCGTAACAAAATGGCGTACTCCCCATCGAGCCAGCAATGTCTGTACGACCCTCGCACGAAATTCTTGACCTTTATCTGTTCTAATGACATCTGGTTGACGCTGCCCTTCTTTGAAGATGTCATCAAAGGCCTCTGCAACAGCTTTACCCGTCTTGTTAGGTAGAGGCTTAACCCAGGCAAAACGGGACATGATGTCAATGACGACTAGGATAAATTTCGTATTGTCATTCTCTGTTGACCAAGTAGACATATCCATGAGATCAGCATCCCATTGTTCATCAATATGTGAAACATATACTTTATTCCGAGTAAATTGTCTCTTAAAAGGTCTCTGTAAGCCATAAGCTTCTTGATTGTCCAGCCATTTCTTTATCTGATAACGGGACAGCTGGTATTTCCCATCATTTAGTACAGCTCTATAGAGTTTGTCTGGTCCAGCAAAGGCTCCAGAATTTCGACTGTCAAAGTATAATTTCTTTAAATAGTCTTGATATGCCATCTTACACTGTCGGAATCTGACTCCTTAATGACGATCTCTCTTTAAATTGCTAATATTTATCACTTTTTTTTTTTTTTTTTATTAATCATCTTTATTATATTCCATAAAATACAGCTGTACAAACTTAAACAATTGCCAAAGTCTAGTGACATTGTCGGCAATTTTGAGTGAAATCCAAAGGAATGTAATTAAATTTTTACATAATAAGTTATTTTTATGTCATGTTATTGTTAAAATAGATGAAAGAAAAAGTCAATAAAATATCATCACACTACACTCGTATATCACAAAGATGTGTAAGGTTTTTTCCCTTGGCCAGAGGGATTTCAGTTGTAACATGTTGTAATCGATTACATGTCCAAAAGATCTAGACCCTGGTGGATATAATATGCTACTATGTTCATTAGTTTCTCATTGACATCTACTGGAAATTTATTATCTCCAAAAAGTAAGAACTGGGATTGATCATGCATATTAAGTCCATCATAGTGGGTACGGATCCCTATCGTCTCCAGTCCTGCAAGTAGTGTTGTTCTCTGTTCTGTCAGCAGAGGGCATTTCAACAGGAAATGTAAAGTTGTCTGGTTTATATTATCACATAAACATTTAGGATTAGCAACCCGTTCAAAGTTGTGTGCATGGAGGTGAGCTTGCAAGAGAAGTCCGGACCTGAGTCGGTTTAGAGGAATTTCTAGGTAGCGAGGCATGGCATTTTTTAGTTTTGACGTTGATAGGGTAGAAGCATGGCTTCCATCGCCTCTTACTATTCTTTTAAATCTTGAAATTGGCTGACCAATTCTATAATCTGGTGGAAGGTTATTCCAAAGGGCCATACCTTTAAAAACTGTAGATTTCTTAGCCAAAGCGCTTGTTTGAAGGGGAATCTTATAGTCCCTGTGGCTCCTTAATGAGCGCACTTGTATATCATTCTCATAGGACCTGACAAGATTACAAATGAAAGGAGGAAAGTTATTATATCTTGCTTTAAAAATAAATATTTTGAGATGTTCCTCTCTTCTAGAGGATAAAGTTTTCCAGTTTATTGATGAGAGAACTTTATTAGTGTTCGAGCCATGGATTGCTCCAGAGACTAGACATGCTGCTCTATAATGTAACCGTTCAAGAGATTGCAATTTGGTATCTGATGATCATATTTATCACTCAGTGCTTGATTCAACAGCCTCGTTTTCGGATTCACTCTGTTCTTCCTCAGAGCTACTTTCCTGGTCTGTATCCTCTATAAAGACCTCATCAAACTTGTGTTTGTTTTTTAAAAGTGTCTTCCTAATGGCTAAGTTCACAGAGACACCCCTCCTCATCATATTATTTATTGAATCAATTATATTTCTGTGTAACGCATTGTCTTTTACATCAACCGTTAGCTTGACGAATTGTTTATATCCTTTCATAAATTCTTCCTTATTCTTCGACAATAGTTTATTATCTGCCTTTTCTACAGCCTCTGTCTTATCCATCCCTCTATCCATATACTCATCCACTTTACGTCGGTGGTCTTCCTCATTCTGTCTTATAGACCACTTCTTTAAGAATGCAAATGTTTCATTTGCTTTCAAATCACCATCATCGTCATCAACGTCATTGTCTTTGTCTTGAGGAATCTTCTCCTCAATATTTTGGGTAGATTGGGTCCTCATCCTCTTGGGTAGTGGTCCCTGATCTTGACACCACTTTTTTATATGCCTCTGTAAGTCGTGAATGCTATCAAATACTAAACCACAGTCATCACAGGATACCATGTTGTCTTCTCGAAATTCACGTTCCAAGTTAGGGTAGTTCTTAACATCACTACTATTTATAAATGTTGTCGTCGGATAGTCGACTTCTGAAATACCCTGTCTTTCAAGTAAGTGTTTTGAATCATTCATTGGTTCCTTGAAGCTGCTGGGATCGTGATGACTTTCAAATTCAACTTCACTTTTAGTAAAGGCATTTGGTTTCAATCTGCTGTGCTCCGAAGTTTCTTGCTTCAGATCAAGAAGCAGGTAACCATAGGTCGACTAGTTGCGTTGGTATATGCTCTGACCAACTTGTTTCCATTTCCGGGGTACATCTGCCTCGATAAGAATGCCACCTGTTGGCGATCTCTCGGGTTATTAAACAGTATCATATAGTGAGAGTTTAAGCTCATCGATCTATTCATTTTTCCTTGATGATACATATTCTGGAGTAGGCATATCACAGACAGATTTCGATGGTGACTGCCTTTGCTATAGAGATCACATATCCGTTGATCATTTGTTGCCTCATTCATAAGATCATCGAGAAGTATCAAAGTAGGAACTGAAGTGTCAAGGTATCTTGAATCATCAATATCCTCTGGTATTCCCTTCACAAATTCCAAATGTGGGTATTTTCTTAGCTCTTCGTAGGCAGGCTGCCATTGACCATAACACCAGATGATTCTTTTGGGAATTGGGGATATATACCGTTCAACATTTTTGATCAAGTGCTTCATAAGCCAGGTCTTCCCCGACGATGTTGGTCCGGCTGAAAATACAACAAAAAATATTTTTTTAATAAATTGACATGCTCTCTTTCTATATTTAGAAACCTATCAGACTTTTAATTTCAACATGTCCATGCCTATACCTGCTATCATAGTAAACGGATGTTTCAGCATAACATCAGACTGATGCATTTTTTCTCCATGAAACTTATTCATATGCCTTGATAGGTTATCACCCCTCGTAAAATTCACACTACACTCAGAACAATTGAAAGACATGTTGTCTGTTCAAGATCTATCAGTAAAATGACTCAAAACATGGACAACTTAAAATATATAAGAATATTCTAATGTGCAGTATTTTGATTGGTTCAAAATGTGTCAATTAAGATCAATTGTAAACATAAACAGGCATTTATGACATTATAAACTATTGAATATTAAAGTAAAGGGAGGGGAGGAGGTTTGGAAGATGGAGAAGAGACAGGAGGAGGTTGGGTGGAAGTAGGAGGAGGTATGAGGTAAGGAGGAGGTAGGGAGGAGGTAGGAGGAGGTAAGGAAGAGGTTGGAGGAGGTAAGGAGGAGGTAATGATGAGGTAGGAAGGAGGTAGGAGGAGGTGGGAGGAGGTAAGGAGGAAGCGGGGGGAGGTAGAGAGGAGGTGGGAGAAGGTAAGGAAGAGGTGGGAAGAGGTAAGGAGGATATAGGGAGGAGGTAATGATGAGGTAGGGAGGAGGCGGGGGGGGAGGTAAGGAGGAGGTAAGGAGGAAGTGGGAGGAGGTAGGGAAAAGATGGCTAACTTCCGCTTTAAACCTACCCAGGCCGACTAAAAGATGCCTCACTTCCGCTATGATGTCACCCTCTTGCCCAGACAGATGCAAAATGGCTGACTTCCTGCTAGAAAGCTTCAAAATCGCCGACTTCCGGTTAAATGACTGACTTCCGGGCTGACTTCCGGTCAAAATGGCTGACTTCCTATCAAAATGGCTAACTTCCGGAACGTATAGTCGTGGGGTAGGGCGTCCGTTACCCCTAGGGCCCGAGATCCCCGAAATATGTACACGCTACCACGCCGAAAGGGAGGGGTGGGGTCCCCGTATGAGCCTCCCTGAACTTATTGTTTAAGTCACGCCCCACGTGCCACAACATGTAAGAAATCACTCGAGCCTGTACCGGCGGGTACGGTCTTACCTATTATCGATTACCAGTCAACGACTGACGCGTTTTTATTAATTTTACTTCACCGGCTGTCAATATTCCGTATCAAATTACCAGAACCTGTACCGACGGTACAGGCTTTCAAGGTTAAACGGGACGCGTACTGGTTTATCGATTTATTGTTTTTGGCGGGAATTCGAATAGTATCCCTTACAGTAAACGTACAGACGTGGGGTAGGGCGTCCGTTACCCCTTAGGGCCCGAGATTCCCGAAATATGTACACGCCACCACGCCGAGGGGGGAGGGGTGGGGTCCCCGTATGTGCCTCCCGAGCTCAGGGAGGCTCACAGATGTCCCTCCCCATTGGAGCCCATGTTAGGGAGGGTAATATGAAAAATCGTGTCCCTCCCCATAGGACTCCATGTTATAGGTGTGTCAGAACTCTCGTTTCTGTAACTACTATTACTGTGTAGGATTTGTCAATGATAAACCAACGTGTAGTGTGTCATAGCCGTAGGGACCGGGGGTTCGATGGGTTCGGACGAACCCCCGGTCGGGATTTCTCCCAAAAAAATATTTGTGGAAAAATTCATTGCAATAACCAGAAACATATATTCAATTTATATGACCAGTAGGAAAAAATAGTAAAGGAAGAGGTTTGAGTATTGGCAAATATCCCTATGGTCATAATGAATCATTCTTAGGTGTAACATGAAGAATAGAATGTCATAATACTTTGGAAAATATTAAAGTGCTGGGGCACACATAAGCTGAGATAGGGATCATTTCATGATTCTCGTCATTAATGATAAAATCAGCGGAACTGTGATAGAAAATGGAATGTTTTCAAAGTTTTTTATTTTCAATTCAAAGAAAGCACAACAAATAAGTTTTTCAGCATTATTTGTTCTTTATTCACAGGCTGGTATCGAAAAAATTGTCCGCTGTGACGGAGCGTGCTATTTTGCATAGAAACACTAGGAAATCCACACAATTTATTTTTTTACTCATATGTTTTGCTATATCAAAGAAAATTACTGACTCCATGCAATGAATATATCATTTGCAGGTAACTTTAACTTCTGTTTGAAGTCCAACAACGCTAAGAGTAAAAGCTATTGAAAACGGCGTCGGAGTATCATACTCCAAAATGTACCAATTCTTTTATTTCTTTTTAATGATACAATATAGCGACACAATAATATTTACATATGTTTTCAACATAACTCTGAAGGTATTAATGAGATCTTTATGTATTGGGTATTTTTAATTTTTTCAATAAAAAATAATGTTTAAATTTTTTGTCCGCTGTGACGGAGCAGTTTCAAATCTGAAATACGTTAAGAATTTAGATTTATAATATATCTCTTTATAACTACACGTTAGAGGAGGGAGCGTATCAAATCTCTTTCTTAAAGTATTCTGAAAAATAAAACGGAATAAAAGTACACAATTCAAATTCTGAGATGTATATACGACCACTCTTTAAGCTTCTTTTCTTAGTTTGTACTGTAATCCAAGTTATGCATGGTAACTCATGAAAATGATACAGTCAACTTTATTTCAGTATAGGGCATTTGCCTTTCGTTGTGCCTACTGTGGATCCATCACCTGACATGATCATTTTTTATGGTAACTTATATACAGTTATTATTATGTGGTAAAAGGTTATACATCTGTCGGAATGCAGGATGTCTGTGCGCTATTTCGAATAAATTCATATTATCCCTATTTATGTTACGCGGTAAACACGATACAAAAATATGCCATATTCCGCAACGAATATGCCATATTCACTTGCGGTGTATGACAGATTCACCTGTGGTATATGGTATACACGCTAACCAATGAGAACGTGATACGGAAGTATGCAATTGTCAATTGCATCGATTGAACGAACAAGTAAAACTTCATAAATTATTAAAATGATTACTGAATCAACAGTACAGTTTATCGAATACATCAACGTATGCAGAAGTATCACTCACCAATCTCACGTAATAAACTTACCCAATCAATCCAGGATTACATTCAGAGTCGATTCTCGCAACCAATCAAACCAAGTCTTTCTGTATCACGTTTTTCACCTGCGGAATATGTCATATCCAACTGCTGTATATGGCATATTCAGCAAGTGAGTATGACATATTCTGAAGGTGAGTATCGGGTATTCACTGAATTCAATGCATCACATATTCACTGCGGAATATCGCATACTCACCTGCGGAATATGCCATATACCGCAGGTGAGTATGTCATATTCACCCGTATCGCAAATACCGCGCAACCATGAATGTATGCCATATTCCGCGTAACAATTTACACTACACGTGACATTCTAAGACGTCTTGGCGAAAACGTATTAGAAATATTATGTTGAGTTAACACCATGTTGATTCATGTTGATTTCAGTACAAACCTCCGAAAAATGCTAAGAGTTTTTATATCTCAGATTTACATTACCCCAGATCTCCCAGAGGCTACTTGTCATAATTTAGGAAAGTGATTTGTGACGTTCTCTCTTCTTATGGTACTTTTAAAAGGTATAATTTGAATCTTAAATTCTTAACGTAGTTCACAGTTAAAACTGCTCCGTCAAAGCGGACAATAAATGTAAACATTATTTTTTATAAAAAATATTTAAAATACCCAATACATCAAGATATCATTAATACCTTCAGGGTTATCCTTAAAACATATGTAAATATTATTGTGTCGCTATATTGTACCATTAAAAAGAAATAAAAGAAATGGTACATTTTGGAGCATGATACCCCGGCGCCGTTTTCAATAGCTCTTTCTCTTAGCGTTGTTGGACTTCAAACAAAAGTTAAAGTTACCCGCAAATGATATAGCCATTGCACTGAGTAAGAAACTTTCTTTGGTATAGCGAAACATATGAGTAAAAAAATAAATTGTGTTGGTTTCTTAGTATTTCTATGCAAAATAGCACGCTCCGTCACAGCGGACAAATTTTTCGATACCAGCCTGTGTTATTTGTTGCAAGGCATTGAAATTTAAGAGAGATGTTTAATGTTAGAGCCTACAGAGCACAGTGGATATTTTGTTATTTCAATTTTTTTTTAAATTTCAGCCTATGTTTCATTCCATTAATACAATACTATTTGTCATCTGTCACTTCTATCGTCAGTACCAATTGAGAGTATTCGTGCAGCCATTACGACTTTTATTGTGCGCCATGATTAAATAAGTATTACATTCTTCAAAAATATTTGCTTTTGAATATACTAGTATTCAGAAACTAACTGTAAGTTCATGAGGTCATTATGAACTCCTCTATTACAAAATGAAATGGCAGATAAAATTCTTTTGATTTGGATTCTTTTCAAAAATCATCTAAAAGTGTGGGAATAGCATGCCAGAATTTGACATATCTTTGAATGATGAATTGGGAATGACGATTTTTCAATGGTAGCTCGTTAAAATATATGTTCCTTAGAGATATGTTGTAATTTGCCCTTTACAAAAGTTGTCTCAATGTATGCTAACCCTTGATTTGGATTTCATTGAACAATTAAACAATTGTTATATAAAATGTATGATTTTGCTACCAGAATTCAATATCTTTCAGTAAAAGATTCACCAAAAACTATTTCAATATAGAAAATCAAATTGTTGCCAAACTTTTGGAGGGGTGTAAATTGTATGTACAAAAAATACTTTTATGTGAGGTACACCGATGAAGGGGGAGATTTGTGGATACATAAAAAATCGAACCCCTGGTCACCAATTGCTGGCTACGCCACTGTGTGTTTTATGTCAACTTAATCTGCAATATCTGCAGGCGAGCTTAGTCCATGCACCAACGATTCAAAATGGTTGCATTAAAAGTGGTAAGTTTTGCAACATTACTACTTTTGGTGAGTCACGTTTTGGAAGGTTCCAAACTGAACAAATTGCATGGAGTTAGCCACGTTGGTATTACAACTGAGGATTTAGATATTTCTACACGCTTCTACACTGATATTCTGGGTGGAAAGTTACTCAGCCAAATTTCAGGTAAATCATAGGTACATTTATTCCTCGTATTTTAGGTTTTTAAGTTCACTAAAATGCTTAAATGGCTAATTTGAGTGTGTGACAATTTGGTTTGATGTACTAGCACTAGTTGAATAGTATACAATTTATCTTGATTCATTCTATCTGTCAAAATAACGTGAACAATGATAAAAGATGAAAATGTAATCGGTTTCGGATATTGGGGGTTCCTAATTCTGATTATGACTACATTAGTTGTGTTTTTTAAGTTTTAATGATGCCCTTTTTTCTTTTACCTTTCGTCACTTGTGCTATTTTTATGTTTACAGAGCATGGTCTCTATGGTGATAACATCTACCAGGGGATGTTTGCTAAAGAACTGAAGGACGCTGAAGAGAAAAGAGTCAGCCCCGAGTCTTTGGGGGTTCCTGATATCTCTAAAGAAGGAAATTACCAGGTAATATCTCCAAATAATCTCATTTGTTTTTATCCTCTATGAGCAGTGATTTATCCAAGAAATAATTACTGAATTTTATCAGTTGCTAAGATAAATAATCAAGGGATTTAACGTCTAAATAACTCTAAGCATATTGAAGTAAAAAGGGAGTGTTTCTAGATCAATCAGAGGTAAACGTTTTACTAAAGCTTGACTACGTTAATTTTTATTCATAGGTACGCTGGAATTGGGTTTTATTTGACAATTTGATGGTAAAACTCCTCAACTTTTCTCCACGCTCAAAGGCTGATATCAGATCTGAAGATTACGATGATCAGGAAATGGTGCGCAAGTCCTCTCCTGCATATATCGCAGCGCCGCATTTGGCATTTTGGGTTCAAGATGATACTGATCTGAGAGAGTACGTTATGGAGCTAGAAAGAAGGTCAAATGCAGCTGGGTTTGAGAAAATAAAATGCAGTCGCATGACGGAAATTAAAAATGAAGAGGATAGGTATAGTGTACCAATTGAAGCTTTTGCCAATGTCTATGACAGTGAGGACTCTCTGGGAGGGGGAGGACTAGGTTGGGTATATTGTAAAGGGCCAAATGGTGAACAAATCGAATTTATAAAATTTGCAAAGTCAAGTGGTGATAAAATACGAGATGCATTTTGCGCCCGTAAGTCATTAACGACAAAGATATATCCTGCCTATAAAGACAATAAGTACAAAAGAAATGTTGGACTTCCTGGGGAACTTTATGGACTTCATCATTTAGGAATACGTACCTCTAGTTTGGATGAGTCTATTGATTTTTTCTCAGGCATACTAGGGGGAACATTAATGGAGGAACTCAAAGGTGATCATTTCTTTGGCTCGGCTTTACAGAATGCACTCTTCCAACAAGAAATGATCAAAGCAAGACAAACCAATGCAAATTATGATGACCTTGGAATCGGCGATTTTGTCAAATCTGACTTAGAGATAAGTCTCAGGTTTGTTCTATTTGATAACTTTATTTTGGAACAATTGATGTATGCTAGAAAGGGTGACAAAACTAACGGATATAACCCTCGCCATGAAAGGAGCTCTCCTGCTCTCATTCACAATATGCAAATTGGTCTACAACTTCAAAATGATGTTAAAATGAATGACTTTATGCACGATGTGCTGAAGAAATCGAAATCAAAATTTGGTAAAGTTATTGCTAACCCCATTGTTGATGATCCGAAACTTAATGGCTATAAATTTGCATTTGTGAAAGGACCAATGGGAGAACAGCTTGTATTCAGTCAATTCACAGGTAAAATGGCTGATATAATCAAATCAGAAATGCTAGCATATGGGTCACTTAGTACTGCCTATGAAGAAACCAACCCATGGACTTGGGACGGATTTAAGGAATCATGTTCTGAAGCTACAGATACAAGTCATGCCGAATTATAAATCAAACCCGTGAGTGTTGATTATACAAATGATAAACAGCTTGAATTCGAAAACTGCACACTGTTGAACAATTGCAGGACACATAAAAATAACCGCTGAAATCACAAGATGAATGCTTTTCTGCTTATAAGTAATAAATGTGTTGTCGTGAAGGAATATAGACTATTGAACAAATATGTCAAAGATAAGTTTTTGCAGATTTTTAAAGTTCAAATACATAAATAGAACTTCTGCAAAACCATGATGAACAATCGAACATGCAAGATTTATTTGTTTTTTTATAGTCTAGCTTGATAAATGTCTCACAGTTATTCATTTTGAGAAGTACATACTGTATAACACTTATAATATTTCAAGTTTCAAAATGTCATAAAAAGGTCTTTGGACATGGTTTTAAGTATGCAAAACTATGCATAAACCATGAATGTACATATTTAGTATATAACACTTGACTTAAAACATGATGTATCATTGTTATCAAAAGTATTCGCATCAGAAAAGGTCACATATAATTCAGTTAAACTAGATTAACAACTGGGTCGACTTGCCAATGTGTCAAAGGATCTAAGTATACTCATTGTGTATTGGTCTTAGTGAATATTTTAAGGATTCAACCGCATGCAATTGTGACGTTTGTGAATTGCACTGACGTAGAGAAATGTATTTCCCAAATCGAGTGGCGATCGGTAGCAACCTATTGCTCATTTCCTTTTCATAAAATAACTGTATTAGTTGTGCCGACATGTTGTAACTGAGGAAGAGGGACATAATCACGATTACCCATGTTACAGAAAAAGCACCGAACGCCGAATATCATCCACAAATAAGTTGGAAACTATAACAATATGTCACAATATTGTACAACACAGGGAATCTGATTTTGCGTTATACCGTATCTCATATAAATTTACCTACGCGTTATACCATATACACTCCCCTCCATAAGTTTGGCAACCTTTTTTCTCCATGGAACTACGTGTTAAAGCCTCTTTACGTTTGAATTTTAATTTACTTAACCGGCGATGAAATAACTTATAATATTGATGGAAACGTAACTTGACTTTATTTCCAATACCTCCAAATTTTCTCAATTTTTTTCCTGAATTACAATATGTCGAAAATTGATGATAAATTTGATGAATTTTTGAAAATCGTCATTCCCATGTAATCCAATGGGAAATGGAGGGTTCGGGGCAAATCAAAAATCAGGATATATTTTCAGTAAAAGATTCAGCAAAAAATATTTTTATATAGAAAATTGAATTGTCTAACTTTTTTGATCACTAAGTGTTTAATTTATTTGATGAATACTAAAGTTAAGCACTTCAAAGTCATTTTTGAAAATAATTTTTCGCCTCCTGTGTTATTTCAATGGGAGAGGTTTTTTGAAAAACAATTTTGACTTTAAAGGCCCATAACTTTGTTGAACCTGAAGAAACATATCAATTTTTTGTTAAATAAAGTTAGCAAATTCAATTGCAGTGCCTAACTCGTATTTTTTGCAAGGACTCGGATGGATGGTTATTCTGTCATATGACTTGCGGCAAACCTACCCAGTCGAAATGTTGAGACATGCGCAGACCTCTATTTAGTGATATTTTCATTTCAAATATGGCGGCCAATCCGATGTCTGACGACCCTTACAAAGAATCTAGGCAGTTTGCAATTTTACCTCCTGTGAAATAACAAGTGAAATTTAGTCGTTGTTTTGTGTTTTATTATCATTCTGCATCGTAATTCTATGTGATGTGGTGTTGAAATGTCAGCAGAAATACATATCCATACGATAATCGAGTGAATCAGATAACAGATTTTTCGAAAACCCGTCTCGTGCTAAGAGTGTAAAAACTTGTATTAACATGCTCAAAAGTGCCAATGAGCACATCAATGTCAAGCTAAATCAATGTTGTGTCTAAAACAGGTACCTGATCTACTCAAAACAGCTTGTCATTCACGTATACACGCTTAGCAAACACCGCGAAATGATCTGAATCTTGGAATTTCGTTCCAGAGCTAGTAATGTTTGCTCCGGTCTTCGTCATAAGTGTCATCAGACTTCACGCATGCTCAGGAGAAAAACCATCAACCAATAACGTTTTATAAATCAATTTTGCGCATGCGCCTTACAACGGTAAAGAAATTCGTATTTATAAACGAACCAATTTGAGATAACCCGATATCAGTCGGAGAAATCTGACGATCTACGAAACTCACTTCAAAAAATCAAATGCGGACTGACGGCGTATTCTACTATGTTTGGATCTAAGATTTTCAGTATAGATAAAGTCTTTTATGATCTTTCGAATGAGGTAAGTCTCTAGTTCGAAAGACAATCGTATCAACTTGAACAAAAGTTGAGTTTTGACGAAAAATTTTAACATGCGCAGAAGTCCCATTTTCGTTGTACCATATTGACTGTACCATTTCCCATTGGTTAACATGGGAATGTCGATTTTCAAAAATTCATCAAATCTATCATCAATTTTCGACCTATTGTAATTGAGGAAAAAAATTGAGAAAATTTGGAAGTATTGGAATTAAGGTCAAATTACGTTCCCATCAATAGTTTAAATATTTTCATTGCAGGTTAAGTAAATAAAAATTCAAAGGTAAAGAGGCTTTAACACGTAGTTCAATGGGGGAAAAAAGGTTGCCAAACTTATGGAGGGGGGTGTACTATATTCGCAGTTTGTGTTGCTTTTCATATGAAATTCACTGTGAAGTTCACTGTCTAGGATATTGTTAGGGACATTTACGTGTAGATATAAAAATATCTCGAAACTAGACCAGATATTTCTGAAACAATGTAAATATCAGTTTGTTCAAATTTCATCGCCTTCGTGTCGTACCTTACCCCGCGCGTTCAGGTACAGCCCCTGTGAATAAAATTGTCCTGATCAGGTGCAAAAACTGTGATAACATCATAGCCACTAGATGGCATGATTCACTGGGTTGCCTTGTAGCGAGTTCACCAAAACAGCAATATGACCTACAATTTTACTATGTCGTCTATTATATACTAAATTCTATGTTCATCTTAATCCATAACTGTCAGGACATATTGATACTTTTCTAGGATGAAATTAAGTGTTTAGGATGAATACCTTTCAATTGGATGATGCGTAGATTAATCGGAATATAAAATTGACTGTCCATGATATTTCCAACATCACTGTAATACATCTAGTCTTTGGTTTTAATGAAAATGAGTAATTTTCACTAAAGTACTCACTGTAGTATTAACAAAAATTTTCATAAATGCTTAGTTCCTTTTGTAAATATTATATATATGAATATAAATATAGTGTCGTTTAGTTAATATAAGTTACCTTAACATACACATTCGGCCTGTACGTGTTCCAGTAATTTCACGTTTACGTAGGGGATTTGAGAAATATTTATTTAACATTTGTCAAAATACTTAGTACAGGGTGTTCAAAAAACGCAACCCAAAGAAATCACTATATTTTGAAAAATACTGGTTCAATTATGTTCATATTTTCAAGAAATAAAGAATGTAAAGAGTGTATGTATAGCTCCTGTAAATGGTAAGTTGAAAAACATGATGTCTTGGACACCTGCTCAAAAGACACTTGTACTAGGAAAATACGAAAAACACAGTCAGGAGTGACTGCAACCGGAAAAAACGAAACATCGTCCTAATAATAGTGTTTTGGCTCTTAAAATTTGGCACAAATCATCTTCATTCACTGTATGGTAAATCTGTAGAGAGAAATCAAAATCACTTCAGGGACTTTACAGTCATGGTCGATATGCTTTCAAATCGCAGTCAAACGGCCTGGTTCAGGGAGACTTAAGAAGGCATTTTGACCATGACTGTAAAGCCCTGGAGTGATTTTGATGAAACTCCACAAATTCACCACGCATTGAATGAGAAGTGCCAAAACACTATGGTTAGAAAGTTATTTGGTTTTATTGCTGTGGCAGTCACATCTGACTGCGTTTTCATATTTTCCTAGTACAACTGCCATTTGAGCTAGTGTCCAAGGCATCATGTTTTATAACTTACTTACAACAGGAGCTATACATACACAGTCTCTTCATTCTTTTCCTGAAAAAATGAACATAATTGAATTAGTATTTTCCAAGATATAGTGATTTTCCGTTCACGTTTTTCGTATTTTGATAGTACAACTGTCATTTGAGCAAGTTTCCAAGACATCATGTTTTACAACTACCTAACATGAACACAATTGGATTAGTATTTTCCAAGATATAGCGATTTCTTTGGGTTGCGTTTTTTTGTACTAATATGTTCAAAAACTTAATCGGAATGTTTAAATACATCGGAGTGTCAAAATACTTAGTTAGTTTGTTTAAAAACCTAATAAATGTATGTTCAAAACGTAGGTGAGCCAAGGGCGTTACAATACCCGGGAATTTATCGGTTCGTGCAGTACTTGTTTGTGATAGCGCCATCTGCAGGTCACTGTGGTTATAGCCTACATAATACGGGGTAGGATATAGGGAATTCGGTGCAGTTTCTATCCGTCGATTACGCTATGAATTGAAGCAAGTGTGACCACTTTATCCACTTAAACAATTTGATAATTGATTAAATCGTTAAACAAAATCGATAAACACGTCATACACTTCCCATCTCCTTAGAAATTAGCATGTATTTATCGGATTGTGTTTTCGGACGATGCTCGACCCAGACCACTAGGGAAATCCTTATGCTAATTAGTATGACGTCATATTTTCCTGGGGAATCCTAGATTTCAAAGCCTCGGTCTTTTATTGTGTCAAATGTAAACGTTCTTTTGCAGACAGAAAATTGACAGATTAGCTTTTAACTTTCAGCTTTGATGTTTAAATATTCTATATTTCTTCCGGACTTCTTGCTGAATATCATATAATGTTATAACTTGATTTGGAATTTGGACGATTACCTGATTGATCCTTTTTGAAATTTTGATTTTGATTCACGATTGATTGGCAAGAAAAATAATTCCTACTGTTTTCCAGCTAAATGTTACAGCATAAATTATAATAAGTGGGAAGTAGAATAAAGGATGGGCGGGGCCAGGGGATTGGTGGCCCTACCAGCCCCACCAATATTCACACGCATACACATAAGAGACAAACACACCCAGGCTCCAGGCCGTGATGGAAATATAAAACTATTTAGGGCACAAAATGGTATTTAATAGACCGATTTGTAGTGAGTCCGCCATGTATTGAAGGTAAAACAATCTGCATTATTGTTACTTCTATCAATACATGGATTGTGCAATGGAAAAGCAATGGCACAATCAAAAATGTGCATATCAATCGTGAATATCTCTCGGTTCAAAG